ACACACACACAGCCAGCGCTCCCCCCGATGGTCCCCTCTGTAGGGCTACACACACACAGCCAGTGCTCCCCCACCCCCCGGCCCAGTCTGCAGGGTTACACACACACACAGCCGGTGCTCCCCCACACAGCCTCCTCTGCAGGGCTACACACACACAGCCAGTGCTCCCCCACACAGCCTCCTCTGCAGGGCTACACACACACAGCCAGCGCTCCCCCCCACGGCCACCTCTGCAAGGCTACACACACACACAGCCAGCGCTCCCCAGCCCCGTCTGGAGGGCTACATACACAGCCAGCGCTCCCCCTTTCCCCTCTTCCACAACACATGCTTCTCTTTACCTTGAGAATGCTCCCACTCCCACAGCCCCCCAATCCCATCCCCCCTCAGGGCTACACACAATCCTTGTGCTCCCCACATACACAACCTTGCAAATGTACACACGCACCGAGCTCCTGTGTTCCTTCCCCAGTGGGGCTACACACCCATGGCTGGGCTTCCTCACCTCTGGACTCCCCCTGCTACCCGTGCACATGCATCCCTGCTGTGCCTTCCCACCTGCCAGATCCCACAACCCCCACACTTTGTCCACCCGACCCTGCAGGGCTCCATACACCTCCCCTCCTCCGTGTGCCCACCTGCTCCCCGCTGCTGGTCCCACACTAGCCCCCATGCTCTCCCTCCCCCTCTGCCTACGTAAAGTCTTTTGTAATAACTTCTCCTCCCCCCTTTCCGTCTAAAGGGCTCTTCCCGTAAGGGCCTTATCTGCTGGACTCTCATACCCTCTGTAGCGCCAAGGGACTTATCTGCAGGAATGGTCTCCCTGCCCCCACGCACCTGTGCCCCACATAGGGGGGATGTTTCCCTTCCCACATGCATGCACCCACTTCTGCCCTCCCCCGACATACCACTCACATGCAGGACCCTTACCCCAGATGGGTCATGCCAATAGGGGCGTTCTGACAGGGTGTGTTTGAACAGGGAGCTGCTGTGCAGACAGCGCTGCCAGGTGGGGAAGGCTGTTGGGAAGACCGAACTCAAAGCATGAGCGTAAAATGCAACGGGGCTTGGACAGAGCCGCCTCCTATCTGGGTCAGTACCCTCCAGAGAGACCTGTCAGGCCTGAGTGGTTTCTTTCCTCACCCCTCTCACACTCCAGTTAACACTGGGGATATTTAAAGTATGGTTGGAGAGGGAAAAAATCTCAGGCCTTTCATTTAGGTATCTCATTCTTCACAACCCGCAAAGCAGTTATCATAGCCTTTCTCTATGCTCCCCGTAATATAAGGAGAGATTGGGGGCAGGGAGGGTATTAATTAAGAATCAGCAAAGGAATATTAATAACAAGTTCTTATACAGCCCTTCTCATCCATGTGTCTCAAAGTGCTGTACAAAGGAGGTCAGTATGATTTAGATTTTACAGGTGGGGAAACTGAGGCACAAGGAGGGGAAAGTGACTTGCCACAGTCCACCTAACAGGTCAGCATCAAAGTCAGGAATAGAGCCCATATCTTCTGCGTCCCAGCCCAGTGCTCTGTCTTCTAAGCCACGCTGCCTCCCTTTCCAAAAGAGGAAGTGATCCCTTTGCCAGGCAGCTTTCAGGGCCAGCCACGCTGCAGGTCCCTGACTCTTACAGACTGAAAGCTGTTTGTTTTCGGCTGGTCATACTCCAGCTTCCTCTCCTATTGCAACATCCTTTCTTGACTTCTAATGCATTTGAATAATGTAGAAGTTGTAGCTGTAACAAGAAAATACGTCTTCCTAATTGGCTGTGTGGGCAGATGTATGGGTGTTCAGCAAGCTCTAAAACCTGACCTGCCTGACACTTGCATAGCTAAGCCACTCCAAAGGATGTTATTCATAAGATACTGTTCTGTGGTGGTTAACGAGGAGACACCAATGTGGGCATCTAATCCCTCACTACCTCTCCATCCTCTGTCTAGGATGCAGTTATGCCATTAAGTGGGTTTAAGCAAGGGTTATTTTGATGTCCTAAATATATTTGGGAGAGGGGTGTAGAGGATTGGGGGGGCGGTCGTGAGTGTCAGCTGAGTGAAAGGGGCTGATGACATTTGTAATTCAAATTCAGCTATGCGTGGGCAGACCCCTGCACCTATGTAAAATCCCATTGACTTCAACTTTTTATGTGGGTAGACATTTTTCATGCTTATCTGCCTGTTAAAAGCTGCTGCAGCTTTTTATGGGTATGTTGAAAAGACTCCAGAATTTTGGAAACCTACCCAGGTAAGGGGGTGGAAATAACCAGAAATAATTTTGTTGGACTCCACAAAATATACAAGAGGTTTCTGATGCAAGTGTGAGGCCTGACCTCTTAAGTTCTGTTAGGTTATGAGCAAAACATTGCTTTCACCTAGGAAAGATTTTGGAAACGTGTTCCGATTGTGATGGATGAGGCCTTTCATTTCTGCTATCTGTTTTGTGCTTTGTAAATGGCCTGGACAAAGGAAAAACAGGGCAGAGATTTATTTGGAGAAGCCTAGTGGAAACTGAGACTCGGGACACTTGGGTTTTAGTCCCAGCAAGTCATTTCCTCTCCCTATGCCTCAGCTTCCCCATCAGTAAAATGGGGATAATGATGCTAACCTCCTTTGTAAAGCACTTTGAAATCTATGGATGATAAGCTCTAGATAATATGATTATTCTGCAATGATGGGGGCAAACTGGAACTTTTTCCAATCATGTCCTCCCCAGGCCCTTGAATTTTAGCAGTTTATTTATAATGGGCTGGGGTCCAGGTCACACCCAGCTACTTTGGCTGGTCTCCAGTTGTTATTCAGCTCGCCCGTTGTACGTTGTTGCTGTGTATATCAGGCACACTAATGTGTGTGTGTCTGTATTATAGTTGCCTGGGAGCTTGGACTTGTGTGGCTATGTGGTATAACTGGGACTTGTAGCAACATGGCACTCGTTTTATAAAAGAAAGTATTTTATTTTATTTTTTTGTTTTAGTGCCTGTGTAAAGTGCTGGACTGACACTCCTGGATGCTGGAGCCTTCTCTGTCCCTAGATCAGGTATGTAACACTTTATAGCAATGCCATCTTCCCTATGGTTCTCCCCCTCCCCCCCACCCCCTCCCACCTTCCTCTGCACTGAAGGGACATCCTCTAGGAGCGAACAAGCAATTCAGTTTCCATGCTGATGGCTCTCCATCCTGGCAAACTGAACATTAGCTCAATTTGTTAATTTCTGAAATGGGTCTCTAGGAAAACACTAAACAAGAGTTAGGCTTCGTGCTGGATGTTCACATTGCTCAACTGGAACTTAATGACACAATGGCATGGCACTGTCTTGTGTCTAGGGAATGTTGAACCCGAGTGTCCACAGTTATGGTAATATTTGCATCATTGTTATTTAGCAGTAGCAGCATTGCAGTACACAAAGGCCCCAGTTTTAGCATCAGGTTGAGCTACACAAAAGTAGACTGGATTTCTGCCCTGAAGAGCTTACAATCTAACTTGAAAGAAGACTTATCAAGTGACTGCAAAGAGAAGGAGAATGTTAATAAGGTCATGTGGTTGCGTTGGTCAACTGTGCACCGTTGGATGGCTCCATATAGAGTATCTGGAACCTTCCCCTACTGACTGCTGCACAATCTTATTCATCATTGGTTGTAATATAGGCTTATACTATAACGGTTGGTAACATATGCAGGATAATGACAGAGAGAAGTAATCATGCAAGATTGAACAAAGAACCACCAAGGACTCGTCGTTGTGCCTCCTCCGTAAAATGAGAATAAGCAGCTATTTAACAAAAGTAGGAAACTTTTTATAAAATATACATTGATCTGCAAAGTTCTTAATCCCATTCCCACATCTCATGCTTAAAGGTTTGGGCCTGAATGACGACAAGGTATTTTCCACAATAAAAATCTTTGTTTTAAAACTTGTATTGAAATAGCAGTTTGCTTGTACTGGGCTATTTCTTTTTTGGAGTATATTTGCTAGCACACTAAAAGGCAGCTGTCTGAAGTGTCCCCTGTGTCCCGTTCTTCCAGAAACATGCAACATGGCAGCAGCCATGGAAACTGAACAGCTGGGTCTTGAAATCTTTGGAACGGCTGAGAGCGAGGAGCATGCTGAGGTCGAGGAGCAGCCAAAACCGGAACCCTTCTATGTAGAGAGATATTCCTGGAGTCAGCTTAAAAAACTGCTCACAGACACTAGGAAATACCATGGCTACATGGTGGCCAAGGCTCCTCATGATTTCATGTTTGTGAAGAAAAATGACCCCGAAGGACCCCATTCAGATAGGATCTACTATCTGGGTAAGTTGCTAGAGCAACCCGTGTCTTGATTCAAACCCAGACAACCTCAGTGGTGGCTTTAGTGTTCTTCCTGTGAATAAAATGTATTGGACTGCAAAACCAGAAGGGCTCGTTATGGGCTTGATGCTAGAATTGCTGGTCAGACTAACCGATCGTCCTGGTCCTTTCAGGCCTTAACATTTGGGGGAGGGGGAATCTCCCAAAGGAAAGCGGGGGGGTGGTGGAAACGTCATCACTTGGGACTCTTAGAACTGGACAAAGACTTAGAAAGTGTTCTTTAGGGAACAACCCTGCACTAGCTGGGGAGATGGAGTATCTGCCCATGGAGGTCTTTCTGGGCTGATGTCTCTCATTGTTATGGACTTGATTCTATTGAAAATAAGTTTTTTTCCCCCCCAAAAAACACTGGTAGAACTTGATCTGTTTTACCTATTTGCTTGCACCCTGGTGGAGGGGGAAAAGAGCATATCTGCATGTTGGCCTCCTAAAAAGAGAAATTGTAAGCGTAATTTTCAGACTCCTCAATGCCACTGTTACAGATGGAGCATATTTTCCAGGGGCACTGCAGATAGCTGGGAGGATATGCAGAAATGGGGGCATATATATTTACACAAATGAAATGCTTTGTTTTTCCTGGGGTTATCTTTGGCTTCTCTAGTGAAAGGATGTATTCAAATGGTTATTCTTGGCCTCTTCTTCTCACTCATTTTTACTAATGTGGTTCGCTTAACCTGGGTAAATCTGGGGTTCTAAGTCAATGCTGTGCCCATTTTAGTACTTCCATGTGATTTTTGTAGTGTGAAAGGTACTGGTGATGGGGGCAGGGCTTAGCATAGGGGGCGGGGCTTTGTGGTATCTGAATGTTTCTGTCCAAAAGCCACAGTAGTAAACATGAAAAATCCAGTCTGGGGGGAGAGGTGAAGCCCTGTACAGAGAACAGGGAGCCAGAGCTGAATTCTAACTTCAGTGCTTGCTTCTTGGGAAAGTCTACACAGGGATAAAAACCTGTGGCTGGCCTGGATCAGCTGATTCAAGCTCATGAAGCTCGGGCTCCAGGGCTGAAAAACTGCTGTGTAAACACTTGGGCTCCAACCCAATGCCAAAAGTCCAAACAGCAATTTTTAGCCCCGTGAGCCCATATCAGCGGATTTGAGCCAGCCGCGGCTCTGCTGTGTGTTTCTTATTCCTGTGTAAATGTACCTATAGAGTCTGATTAGCAATTCAGAATTGTGTGGAACCTCATGGAAATCCATGGAGTGCCACATGGGGGCACAGTCTGCCCACATGCTGATCCAAGACCTGAAACTGATGATCTGTCCCCCTCAGTTTCCCCACTCAGAAAATGGGGGTTAGTAACATTTTAACTGGCCTTCACAGCACCCCTGTGAGGCAGTTCAATGGACACGGTCAACTTGCAACGTCATCCATTTATAGCAATACTTTTAAAGGAATTGTTAGAGATTGAGCAGGAGGACCCAGAGGCAGATTTAGTAAACGGGCTTCTTTATTGTGGTACTTGTTCCCCTCGACCCAATTGTCGAGTAAGCACTGAGTTCATCACATCACGCTCTTTTATCTAAGGTTCAGAGTAGCAGCCGTGTTAGTCTGTAT